TTGCTGGTAACACCAAAATTTCAAGCACCATCACGGCATCACAATCACCATCTAACTCCATTCACACTTTACGAGGGAAAAAGTTCAAAAGAAGAAAACGAATAACTTGGTTTGCAGAATTTGTTTTTAAAATAATGCTTTGGATATACCATTTATCTATATTCGTACAAATGAATCTAATCTACCTAATACAATAAATCACATGAAGAAAGAACAAAAAAGGTCGTTGAGTTGAATGATAGCTCAAAATTAAAGACAACTTTCTCATTTGCACCTCAATCATTCTTTTCCATATTCTACTTTGTAAAGCTGCTCCTACCCTTCGATTCCCTTTTTCTAAAGGAAGATCACACTCTCTTATTATTATTATTTTTTCATTTTGGTTAAAATATTTTACTATGTTGTGAATGTCAAGAAAAATGCCGTGTAGGTATATCAACAGTTGTAGGTGAAATTACATTTCATATAGATTCCATTATCACTATGTATGCACAATAGCTTAACTTTTTAACTTCTACGTAAGATCGTTCAATCGTTTCGTATGCAACAGATTTTGTAAATATAAATACAAATTTCAATCTCTTCTCTTAATATATTCAATATCGCATTCTTCTTTGGGTATAAATTTTTTACCATTATTATGATATTTATCCTTTTGTTTGTTTGTCAACAGATAACATTTTAATTAAGAGATAAGTAAACAGAAATTTTATACTCATGAATTCGTACAAATGTGTCGAAAAAGCTTGCCATTATTTCGGTGTGATCGTTATATTCATCAGTTCCGAGCAAGCATATCATTGCCCATATAAGGGTTTCTACTTCAGAGTGTAGATGGTACAAACTTATGCGTATAATTTTTTTCTTTATTATCGATCTGCCCATCCTAACTTGAGGATAAAATCATACAAATCTTTTAAAAAAATTGTTTCCTTCCAAGATTTATATATCAGTGAAACAGTTGTGACCTGATAAACCTGTCGTTGGAGGTGGGAGTTCATTGATGTTCACGCATTGTTCTATGCACTGACCTAATTCCCAACCTTGTGCCTCACTTTCTGCCATTTTGAGAGCTTTTTGTGGCTCTCTATTCCTATTTTTTGGAAACTGTGGCGGTCGAATCTTACAATTAGAATCTAAGTGATTCTTTAGGGTTTGTAAAGTTCTGTGGAAAGCAAGCAAACACAAAGATCTCAAGAGAGTTTTTATTAGTTGTGAAGAAAGCTGTTACAAGAGTTTTTTNNTNNTNNNTTCCGATCCCCTTTTTGGGTGATAATGAAAGACTATATATAATATTTCTAAGTAAATGGGCCAGCTAATAAAATGGACCTGGTCCATTAAATAATATATCTAATTTAGGCCCACTATTCCATTAAGCCCATTTTGCTTATGAATTTAATATCATTTTGGGCCTAGATTCAGACTGGGCCCTTGTAGACTTGTTTTGTTTTCGTCAAGACGTTGTGG